AATAAAACATTGTTATTCTTCGAGATATTACTTAATATGTTATTACACAGTAAGCGAAGTGCCGCTTTTTAGATTCATCAAAATGTATGTGTATTGTTTGATGTAAATATGTCTAAAATTAGCCATGCGCGGTGCTTGTCAAGGCAGGGGCGGATACAGGGATTTATTTTAGGGAGGGCCCAAATAAAAAGTAATGTAGAATATGCTATTTAGGGAGCCATTTTAAACCCAAAAGCCTAATTTTTAACCAAATTCATACATTTTAGGGGGGCCCGGGCCGCGTAAAGCCATTCCCCCGTGCAGTACAACGCCTGGTTCTAGTGACCGGTGTTGTGCCGGTATGGAGAAAAACATATTAAAATTGCTCTAGGCTGAGACAAAACCCAGTACAGTACAACGCGGTCGTTATATTTTACATTAAAGAAAAAAATTGGGGTTGTGTTTTGTCTAGTTTAAAGTTTCAAAAATATTTTACCTTTTTCGAGGAAAATTGCTAATATTTTTTATTTGCTACTCGCATATCAAATGGTTTGTAACTTTAGACCTTATTTTTCAAGATCCGAACGTTAAAGTTATTCAGAGGAGCGTGTTTGATTTTGTATTAAAACATAATATTTTTGATCAAAATGTAACGTACTAGTCTAGAATTGACCTCCGCGGAGCCGAGTGCCTTTAGGCGCCGCTTGGCTGTCTCTGAAGATGGCCAAAGAATGATTTGTTCTTTGTTGCCTTATTATTTCTTCTACACAATAGTGGATTGCCGTTATTTCTGCCTGGAAAATTGTGACATCCTTAGATAGGCTTACGTGGAAGGATCTCCCTTGTTTCGACCCTACTATACCAGGTTGCCTCAGCTTGAATGGGTACACCTTTACTCCAGTTTTCCCTTCCTGGTATGGTTATATTAAATTTGTTGTTGAAGCTATACCTAGTAGCTGTTGCATCAATTGGTAATCCCAATACTTTGTCTGCTTTTAGCTCTTCGATTAGCTTCTGGTTAGCAGCACTATACGTTTGGCTTATGTGCTTCTGACCGTGAATTAACCTGTGCATGACAGATCTGGCTTCGCCTTGTATGAAAATATGTAGTGGTGGTAAGTTCCGAATGAAGCGTAAGAGAAACTATCATCAAATCATATTCAAATTTAGAATGCCACTTTATCTAAAGAAGAAAACATTCAACAAATGTGTACTACCGGTCATGACCCATGCAAGCAAAACCTGGACGTTTAAAATGAACATTATAAGGAAGCTGCAGGTCGCACAGCGCTCAATGGAACGAAATATGCTGCGAATAACCAAGAAAGATCCTAGAAGAATACAGAGAATACGACAATGTCATCCACAGAATCAAATCCCTCATGTGACAATGGACAGGACACCTGGCAAAAAGGACGGACAACAGATGGACCACAAAAATTTCAGGAGGAGTTTCGATAAGGAGGGGTTTCTCGAATCTCAAATTCCAAGAGGGTGAAAACGCCCCTCAAATATTACAATATCTGTTATTTTTAAACGGTTAGTCTTTCGGGAAAACGTTTGAACAAGCATAATTTATTTGTTTTTTTTTCATATTTTGAATTTTTTTAAAAAATCATACAGGGTGTTCCAAAAAGTTGGATAATTTCTTAACCACGATTCTGCTTAAACTGCTTAACGTAAAAAGCTTATTTTTGGCAAACGGATTTTTCGAAAGTCAAATTCCAACGAGATGAAACTACCCCTCAAATATTTCCAAGTTATATAATAATATCGCCATATTGTTTTTTCTCATGCTGACAAAAATGTGAGAAAATTTTATCCAGTTTGTATGTTAATGGAAATTCTTGCTTTGCTTTATCATCACCATTACAAATGATTAATTCGACGCGAACGAAGTCGCTGGTACACGCTAGTATTTATATACAAAATTAATAGATATAAAGTAATCCAAAAAGTTAAGGATATTGTGTTTTCGCTAGGAAGAAAAATTTTCAGAAAAAAATGTGTTATAATTATTAGTACCAATGTCGTTTGTGTTTAAAAAAATACTGTTTGTAAATAGAATGCGGAGTACCTCAGGGCTCAGTGCTAGGTCCTATTTTGTTTCTGTTGTTTATCAACGATATTGCTAGTCTGGACATCAGTGGTAAAATCTGTCTCTTTGCGGATGATACTTGTTTCACATGGAGCAGCCCGGACACCACGGCACTTCATAGAACCATTTCCAGTGACTTAATCAACATAAAAACATGGTGCGATTCTAATTATCTGTGTCTCAACGTCTCTAAAACTAAAGTCTTATCATATAAAAGTACGTTGCTACCTTTTCAACTTGATAATACCACCATTGACGTCGTTGATTCTGTGAAATTTTTAGGCCTTGTTGTGGACAACTATTTAAAATGGGATTTGCAATCGATGCTTTAGCTAAAAAATTAAGTTCTGCCTGTTTCGCACTTAGATCAGTTGCTAATGTGCTTAATTTGTCAACATCTAGGACAGTCTATTATGCCCTTTATGAGTCGCATCTCCGATACGCACTTCCATTCTGGGGTGCGTGTTGTGCGACTCAATTTGAGCGTATCTTCAAATTACAAAAGAGAGCTGTGCGATATTCACTGAGGCTAACCAGTTGTGCTCACTGCCGGGACTTGTTTAGAAGATATAAAATATTAACTCTTCCTTCCCTATTCATACTCGAATCCGTCTGCCTAGTTCGCAAGCACGTATCGAGTATTTCTCTAGAGCCAGTTCATGGCTATCCAATTAGGAACGCAGAGCATAACATGTATCTGCCAACCCCTCACTCTGAGTTAGTAAAGAGTTCCCAATTGTACAATGCAAAAAAAAATGCACTATCATCTGCCATCTGAAATTAATTCCATTTCATCCTTTCCTGCATTTCGCAGAGCCTTGAGATCATACTTACTGGAGAAAGCCTTTTACGCGGTTAACGATTTTTTTATTAATATCTAGGGTTCTAAATTTAACACACATTCACTAAATTTAAGAAATGATTTTGTTTTCTATCCATTTAAATTTAGTATTGACATTATATACAGTTGTTTATTTACATGTATGTTTATATTTTATTTATATTTAATTAAATAAATTTTTGACAATGTACAATTTCTATAATTGTATAAAGTATTGTTTTAGTTTTGTATGTTTGCTGTTAGTTTTATATGTTTTTTTATTGTTAAGTGAAGTTTTGTATGTTTTTTATATTCTTTTTTTTTTAGGCTTTGTCAACAAGATTGTTTAATTTTTTATGACAATAAAGCAATTTCTTTCTTTCTTTCTAAACATAAAAAATTGTACCCAAACAATTAAAAAGCATTATCATCAAAAATGTACATTTAATTTTTGTTTAGAATATAACTTGTTTGCGTGTTGCTAAGCGGTAGTTTGCGATATTGTGGTTATTCTGTCATCGATAATATGAACAGACGTCATTTAATAATAGAGGAAGCAAATTATTGGGTTGGTTCTTGGCGGTGCGCGACAGATCGGTGTGGCTGATCGATTTAAAGTCACCTAAAGTGTAATTTCTAGACTTGAAAACCGATTTAATGAGACTAGATCTGTCATGGAGAGGCATAGAGAGGGTCGACCAAGGTCGACAAATGCTAGGGAGGACCGAAGCTTACTGAGAGGAGCCAGGATGGATCCTGCAAGAAACTACACGTTACTCAGCCAGGACCTTTTGGCTGCCAGTAGGGTACGTATTACTCCTCGGACGGTCTTAAGCCGATTAAAAAAGGTTTACATTGCTATAGGCCTATAAGACGCCCTCCGTTGTGTTATAAAGCTCAACGTTTGCTCTGGTGTAATGAAAGAGCTAACTGGAATGATGAGTGGCAACTGCGATGTTCAGCGATGAAAGTCGCTTTTGTCGTCGTACTGACAGACGTACAGTTCGTGTGTGGAGACTAAGAAATACAAGACTTAACGTGGAGGGCGTCTTATAGGCCTATAGCAAAGTAAACCTGTTTTTTTTTAATCGATTTAAAACCGTTCGAGGGGTAATACGTACCCTGCTGGCAGCCAAAAGATCCTGCCTGAAGAACGTGTAGTTTTTTGCTGGATCCTTCCTAGCTCTTCTCATTAAGCTTCGGTCCTCCCTAGCATTTGTCGACCTTGGTGTACCCTCCCTATGCCTCTCCATGACAGATCCAGTCTCATTAAATCGGTTTTTAAGTCTAGAAATTACACTTTAGTTGATTTTAAATCGATCAGCCACATCGATCTGTCGCGCACCGCCAAGAAGCAACCCAATGGCTTGATTTGCTTCCTCTACTGTTCAATGACGTCTGTTCATATTTCTGATGACAGAATAACCACAATATCGCAAACTGCCGTTTAGCAACACGCAAACAAATTCTATTCTAAACAAAAATTAAATTTACATTTTTGATAGTAATGCTTTTTATTTGTTTGGGTACAAATTTTTATGTTTACAAACAGTATTTTTTTAAACACAAACGACATAGGTATTAATAGCTATAACACATTTTTTCTGAAAAATTTTCTCTCTAGCGAAAACACAATATCCTTAACTTTTTTCGATTAATTTACTTAATTTTTCGTTTTTTACCTCTCGACAGTAATACAAAAAAAAACAGCTTGGTACAGAGTAACTGAATTCAAAATACAAAATATTATCATAATGACGTATTTAGGCATTGTTTCGGTAAATGCGAATACACACTGTGTTTTGAAAATCAACTGATGTTTAAAAAAGATTCCACAAATGTTATGCAGTTTGTATTTATATATTGCGTAGTTTATAAAATGTAATCTCTATTAATAGATTTTACTTAATAAGAGATTACTATTATACAATGTGTGTCAAAAGATTCGCAACAATTGAGATTTAAGAAAATATGCCATACCCCCCCCCCCCCTGAAAAATGTGCAACACCTTTAACGTCTATTTAATAGAGCACTAATTGAAAATTGAAACCACTAATTTATTTCACTAATTGCGCGGTTCTGAAAGTTGCAAATCTACTCACCTGACTAGATCTAGTAAGGTGTCTTGAGTGAGTACGTGTCGTGTAAGTACCCTGCTGGAGTCATCTTCGCTGGCTGGTTTCCATGGGAGTGCACCCACACCAGGTCGTATCAACACCACCAAGATGATACCCAAAATCACAGCGCATATGGTGGTAGTCGCATAATATAATATCGATCTGTAACAAAGAAAACGGGAATCATAAAGTCTCAATAACCTCGGGCCATCGCTAGAAATTGTTTAAAAAATCATCAAAATCTACTAGAAAAAAATATACTGAACTTGACCAAACCAAACCAAACCTTAAAATACTTGAAAATTTTAGGTTGGCGGCAAATTTAAAACAAAGCAAATTAAACAGTTTTTCAGTGTTACAAAAAAAAACAACGGTAATATTAAATTTACTCTAAATACTTCAGTTTATGTATGTTAATTATTTTAAAAATGATAAATTTTGGCAAGAGTCCAACCACTTGTTTAATAATAATTTAAACTCATTTTCTTGTTTCGCTACAATGAAAAAAATATGTAGACAGATAGTAGTTTTAAAGAAGAAATAAATTAGACTTAAGTGATGTAAAGTACCGTATGATCGAATAAAAACAGCGTCAGTTATGGCTATGAAATGAAGACCGCTGTCATTTTGTATGTAAATTTATATGGGAAATGTCATCGATTGTCATTTCATAGCCATCGCTGACGCCGTTTTTATTCGATCATACGGTATAAATAACTTTATACGTTCTGTCGCATAGAATGTTTGTTTTACTTTGATTAAAATACACCTTTACAACGTCTAAGCACAGATTTATCCCCTCACCTCAAAAATTACGTAAAATGAAACTTAAAAATATGGAAAGAGCGTACAAACTCCAAAATCTCAATTTGAAAATAAACAACTGTGGTGTTATCAAATCAAATCTTGAAAACCGAAAACTGATATACAGGGTGGTCCGAATTGTATTCGGGAAACTTCCGCAGCATATTCTACAGATAAAATTAAGTAAAAAAGTTCATATAAATTTATGTCCTAAAATGCTTCGTTTCGGAGATACATGGTGTAGTAGTTTAACATATTTATTTCGATTTTTTCCAAATAATTTCTGAAGTAACGTCGATATTTGCATAAAAATTGGCGTCTCGGTGTTTTTTAGAAATGATAAATTTGATTTCGATGTCAATGTGATTCCTATTTGTAGGGGGCGCCACCTACATATGATTTAATTGTTTTGAATTGAAAAATAATAACTTTTCGCCCGTACCTGTATAAAACTATTGAGTGATATGCATTTACGACGTTTTTTGCGTAAAAAAGGTCTCTTGGTAAAAATCGCTACGAGCAATGGTTCTCGAGATATTTGGAATCAAAATTATCAATTTGTATAATTATGTCATCATTGACATAAATTAAACATGTTAACTAAATAGTTATTAGACTGAAATCATAAATTTGCAATTATTTTGTGTCAAAAGTTCAATTGAAACTATTTTATCCTCATTTTGTCGAAGTAAAATTTTATTAATTTAAAAAATAAAAAGTTCCAAAATTTTTCATGTCAGCCAAATAACTATCTATTTAACATATTATATTAATTTTTTTTTGTCAATGGGCATGTATTGAATACTTCCATTCTAAATATCTTGAGAACGGTTGCACGTAGCGATTTTTACCAAGAGACATTTTTTACGTATAAAATTAGGGAAATGTATATTTTTTCAGGGTAGTTTTATACAGGTATGGACGAAAAGTTATTAGATACTTTTTAAAACAGTTAAAAGACATGTAGGTGGCGCCCCCTACAAATAGGAGTCATATTGTCATCAAAATCAAATTTCTCATGTCAAAAAACTCCCAGACACCAATTTCCATGCAAATATTGACATTACTTTAGAAATTATTTCGAAAAAAATCGAAATAAAAAAGAAACTTCTACGCCCTGTATCTCCGAAACTAATCAGTTTAGGACATACATTTGTACGAACTTTTTTATCGGAAGTTTCACGAATACAATTCGGACCACCCTGTATATCAATAGATAACAATTAATAAATGTTTATGTAAAGAGAACAGTGTGGCCAGAAAATGTTTATATTTTCAAGGAATACAAAAATATATATATATATATAAATATTATAACAAATGCAAAATTTCAATGTGTATCAAAAATAATTCACGTAATCATTGTAAATCAAACTACGTAAATAAATGGTCGATTTACTTCTGATCCAACCCTGAGCGTGTTGGTGTGTGTTTTGGCAACTGTTCTCACATCGTCAATAAAGATTGCAGACTGCATAATTAGCTTTTGTATTAAACATGGAAGGTCGTAGGTTATTTATGATTCAATCATAAATCTAGAGCAATATTACTAAGAACTATTTTAGAAATTATCTAATTATGTAGAATGGTATGCTACTTAATTAAAATAAAAACCTTTATCTACAACCGTTTAGTTATAACGTTTTTACATCACTATTTTTTTAGTATTTCAGTTACGATAGATTCTTAACACATCTAGTTTTTATAATAATGAAAAACAACTAGGAACATCTAAATATATTAATTTTTTATACAAATTCCTACTACTAATTTTTATAAATATTAATAACACATTTTTTACACTTTTTCAAAACAATTCCTGCTGCTGATGATGAAGACGATGATAATAGTGAAGGTCTAACTGAAATAGGTTGGGCTGTTCATCGGTTTGGCTCACACTCGGGCTGGCATGCTTCCTCAGCGCTTCTTGATCCCAAAATGTGCTACGCAACAATTTTCTTGTTTTCTTTTGATGTATCTATATATTACTCTGTGACGGAACTACTTCTCCAACCTCCATGACGCTTAACCATTAGTAAATCTGCCCCCGAGTCCGCCAGCAATGAGGCAGATGTGCGTCTAAAAGCTTCCTTCAGGAATTTTTCTATATCATTTCTTGTAAAAGACCTGGATTTAATAGTCTGGTAGGATTCCGATTTTCTTTTGAGGAAAGCAATGATTTGGGCATATTTACTTATATCGACGTTCTTCTTCAGGGATATTGTGGCTTGCAACATAGAATAAAACATCCATAGACTTGATGCGCTATATTTCCCTGCAAGATTTTCAAAATATGCTAAAATTACTTTTTCATTGCATTGATTTTTCACCTTTTTGTCATCACACCATGTCAAAAACTGGTTGAATGTTTTTTCATATTTTGATCGCGACTTTTCCGGCAATAATGATTCCGTGGCACGTACTGCGGCAACTTCTACATCTGAAGGGAGACTTTAGGAATCGCTCATCGTAATTTTTAAAATGATTTTTCTGGGCAAAAAGCGCTCGCGCAGGGCAAACTGACTTTTCAGTACTTGATAAACAACGTTTGTAACTATAATCTGAAGCAGGTAACAATTCCCCACAATTATAATTAAAAAATATGACAAATGTCATAGTTAAAAGTGGGCGACTAATAAACGAAAACTAAAACAGCATTTTCTTATATTTCGTGCGTTTAAACACGATTACAACACTCCTGTGATTAATCGTTCACGCTCGTTGTTGTAATCATTTGTACTGTAAATAACTATTATCTTCGTGGCAGTTGTTCGTTACAGTCCTTTACGTGTCAACTATCAGAAGCTTTTTCACATGAAATGTGTAAAATCGGAATATATGCTTTAAAATCAGTTGAATTGATCAATTGACTTGACTCGTGAAAACTTTGAGGCTTTATAGTTTTTAAATTTTATCAACGTTTCTCAACTGTATTTTTAAACATCCTCAAGAAATCCTAAAAAAATATTCTTGTTTAATTTGTAAAATACATAGCTGTCATGATCAATACTACTAAATTACTTATCAATTATTATAAGTAATTATCATCTAGCTGATAACGTAAGTGTTAAATATTCAAATTAACAGGCATACTGTCAATGTTAGTATTTTCAATTAAATCAAAAAATATTCGATATCTTAATTTAGGTAGGTATTTATACTACGGAAATTTTGGTTTGTAATAAATTTTCGAGACATTTCGAAAATCTTGATAAACCAGGTTAACACTGATTTAAAAGCAATCTTAAATTAATATGAGGAAATGGATTGGTGTCCCGACATAATAATTTATGTATGATATAGATAGCAAATTATTAATTTTTGAACTAAATTTAGATTAAAAAATAAACAATAAAAATTTCTACATAAATATACAGGGTTGTTCACCACATACGACACGGAGTATTGTAGCTAAACGATTAGATTTTTCAAATTGTAAGTTTTGGGTTCGTTGAAGGACTATTAGAGCTACAATTTAAAAATGTTTTTACAAGATACAGAGTGGCCCAAATAAATAAAAAATATCAAATTTGTATTTTTTTAAATGGAACACCCTGTATATTATTACATTTTTAGTTTCTACGAGTGTTTGTACTAGTGTGTAGTGTTGTACTAGTGTTTTTATTTTTCTACGATTAAAATAAAGGTAAATTTGATTAAGGTTTATCACAGTTAAACCTTGCCATTTTTGAAATATTTAGGTTTTTGTCAAAATACAGTAATAATTTTAATGCTTCATTTCTCAAGCGTATTTAAGTTTTTAAAACCAAATATTGCAATGAAGTATTTTTATTTACTGAGTTTCGTGTACCTTATACAGATGCACAATTTAATTTTTTTTAATTTTTTTTTAATTTTTTTTTTGTCTATGAAAATCTATTATTCCATTTTCTACCTATCTCTTCAAGTCTCCGTAGAAAATGCATTTTCTTATAATTTAGACCTCAATTATCAATGTACTCATGAAATAGCGAACCGAAATTTATTATCGGTGACCGATGTGAATGAGTTTTTGGGCAGTTCTCTTCATCTTTCTTCAACTTAATTATTCAGGAAATGCGTGAATTTATGCATTTATGCTAATATTCGGCTAGTTCGGCGAGTAGTTAACCGTGTAAAGACTGTAAAGTTGTTGTTGATTATTTATTGTTGTTTGTTAATGGTTTTTATTGATTTAACTTGTTAATTTTTGCTGTTTGTTTTGTTAAAATGCATTTTCTTATAATTTAGAACTCATTTATCGATATACCTATGGAATACTGGCATTTTAGATTATTTTTAAAGATGTACCAAATTTTTAAAGATTACAGATACTAATATTGTCGATATAGTTCGATTATTTCATTAAAAAATACAAA